TATCTTCTTAATTCCTGTTTTTTTTTTATTGTTCTTCCTCCTTAATATTTATTTTCTCATATTCTCTAACACTCAGTAAACCATTGTGTCTTAGTGACTTTATTGCCTTGCTTGGGGTGAAATGATTAAAACGAAAAATGTTAATTTTAAGGCTTTAAAGAGACTGGGGTGAATGAAAATTGGGACTCTCCCACCACAATATTGCTTCAGTTTCTTAGTTTCTGTTGAATTTATGAAGGTTGATGACTTCCTCTATCCTGCCCCAAATCTGCCATTTGTGCCATGGTTTTAAAACTTGTTTTTGTAGTTAATAGCTTTTATATTTAATAAATATTTGAAGTTTCTTACTTTTTTTTTTTTACTATTCTTTATGGCTTTTTCCACCTGTTCAGTAGCAGGGGAGTGGATGTTGAATGACATTTTTGTCTTTTTCCTTATTTCTGAAACTCTCTCTTCTGATAGGCTTTGTTATCTTTTACTTTTAATATCCTGTTTTTAAAGAAGGGGTTGGTCAGGAGAAGGAGGATGTTGGTGATGGAACAGGAGTGGATCATAATAAAGTTATTCTAGGGAGGGATACTTTTTTAAGAGGAGATAATCTTGGATAGGGAAAGAATAAGTAACCTTGTCACTGGAGGAGTGGGGGTCACAATTTTTTCTTGTTGTTTGGGAAGACTGACACAGAGGATGAGGAGACCCTGCCCCTGTCATGTAGTCATCACTACTGCCTAAGGTTTCTTGATCTGTTTGGCCTTAAGGCATTCTTTTTTGTTATTTTTTTTTTTTAATCTTGTTGAACAATGGGTTCTATTTTTGCCTCTGTTTGATGATCTTTTTGGTGTAGCTACTTGGGCCTTCAGGAGATCTCATAGCTGTTGTTACCTTTTTGGGTTTCCATCGATGGAATGTTTTCTTGAAAGGCAGTTGAAATTTTAGAAATCTGGTTTCTGGTTTATTAGCCTCTTGTTCCTTGATAATTTAAAAAAATATTTTTCAATTTTGTGGTCAGCTTAAATTGTTTATTCTTTTTCTTTTCCTCTTTCTTAGTCTGGGATATTTTGAGGGATGATATAGTTAAAAAAATAGGTTTTATCGGACAGACCTAAACAAGTCCTTGAGGATGGGCAAACAAAAGAAGAAAGAAATTAAATTCCTGTAAAAATTAATTTTTCTCTCTTTGGCCAAATAATAATATTTTTTAAATATTTTTTTCTTTTGCGGGAAAGAATAGTCAATACAAAGAACCAAACAAGAATGAAAACAAGCAAACAAAAATTGGTGAATGAACTAAACAAGTCCGACTGCAACAAGAAATATATAAAGGTTCAACGTAAAAAAATTTGTCATCTATCTATATTTCCTCAAGGACACATGGCACAGTGGATAAAGGTGTTAGTTAGATCCAGTGACAGGACCCAAAGAGTGTGAGTTCAATACCCAATTAAGGCAGTGGAGAACTTGGAGAAGGGAATTAACAGCAGATAACTGATAACTGACACCCATTAAACATGGCATATGGAACTAGAACAGTCTACCCCAGTGAGGGAAATAAAGGGATCAATTCAACATTCCAACCACCTGAAGAAGGCCGGAGCGTACAATGGCCAAAATGTAATAAATATATAATAATGTAAATAGTGTAAAAAGTTTGTCCTCAAAGAAAATTACTTAAAAAAATACAATGAACAAATTTGTAGACTAAAACAAACTCTAGTGTAGATTTACACTAGAATGAACAAAAAAAAATACAAAACTGGCAAAAACCAAGGGAAAGAAGAAAAAAGAAAAAATTAAGCAAAAATGATTAGAAGAAAATTGTCTTAAACAAAAATTAGTTAAACAAAGCAAAAGAACTTAACTAAGTCAAGAGGGTTCAAAAACATGTATCTTGATAAATTCCACAAGAATACAAAGCAAAAACTGGTACTTGTTTGGACTAGCAAATGCAGGAAGAAGAGTTGCCACATTTGTGAAGAAGCCATTAACTCGATGATGCAAATAAAAACTGGGATATTCCATTGGTATATTAACAGAAAACAGTTGATGGGAAAGCCTGAATGTGCTGCCTATGGATTAGCATTTCTGCCTTTATTTCTACTTCAATTGTGATGGGCAGAATCATCTAGCAAGAGACCTGTCTGTGTCAATGAGGAGGGATCAGCAAGTATTGCAATCAGAAAAGACACAAATAATTGTGATTCTATCAGTGTGAACTGTCTTTTACTTGGCCTGGCATTGCTTGAGAAATGGATTCAGTGCTAGTTTCCTCCCACTAAAAGATCTAGATATGGCGCTACTTGTAATCGCGGTGCTCACTTATGGAATATAGTGGTCGCTGTTAGTGGACACTGTCTCTCACACAATCATAAACAGGTGTTATGGTCCAATATCCTCGCACCACAGTTATGGTCCAAGGTTAGAACCAAGGAAGAACAACACAAACACAAGAGTAGAATAACAAAGATATATTACAACAGAAATATAGTACAAGAAGTTGAAGTTGTTAGTAATGACTGTCCATCTGGTTTAGAGTGAACTAATATTGTCTTGACTAGTTACACCATTCATTCATTATACCTCTTGAGAGGCGCAGTATTTATAGTGTCAGGAAGAGTCCATTATCATTATAGGTAAGTTCCCATAGCAACAGGTCAGTTTATTGTCTTTGGAGGGAAAGGGAGGTTAAGGCAATAACAGTTGGCAGAAGGAACCTGAGATATTATGGAGTTGGTAGGGTTTAGCTTAGAGTGGATGGTGTTGATCTGGTTCTGGGAAAAGTGTTGATTATGGAAGGAAAACAGCTTGATTTTGACATGCTGGGGATAGATGCTATTAAATCATTGGGCAGAGCCTGCATTAATCAAACAGGTGAAGAGCACTTTACTATGGATAATGTAACAGTGTGTGCAGCACTTAAACTTGACAAAGTTGATGTCAGCATCAAGCTTGACTGGCAAAAATTCATATGGACTCCATCATGAAAAAATGAACAAATGATCTGTTGCCAGCAGACCTGAAGAACCAAATACCAGGATATTCTGCTCCCAAAAACATTAAGGAAGATTACAAGGTGCTGCAACTGGGGTTAGACACTGGATAGCTACTACCATAGCTAAAAAAAGGAGTCCACTCAAAAAGCTGACTCCATTAATGGCAGTGATGCAAGCCAACAAAAAATGTGTGCCATGGTGGATTTTAGAGAGTTTAATAAACATGTTGATTCATTTAAAGTGGAAGCAGGTGTCTGTTCACAGAAACTAAGAGAGTGGCAACAGTAGCGATCAGTGTTGATAAGAAACCTCAATTTACAGGTGCATGTCTATAAGTTGTGTTTTTTTCAGACTGTGATGCTAAGGGACCAAAGATACTTCCTCATCTGTGTTGGATTCAGGTTTAATGTGACACAACACACATTGGGATCTATCATAGGTGCAATAATGTTGCAAGACAGGGTGACATCTGCATATATATATATATATATATATATATACAACACTATATAAATGAAGATATAGCATCAATGTCATATATAAAGAAGCATTTCACAAGGTTTGGCCTAACATGTAAAGATCCAGTGCAATTAGAAAATGGTGTGCAGGTTTTGTCTGCTGGGGAGCACAGTAGGCTTTAAAGGAAGCATGGAAGCACCATTCCAGAAAGTTCCAATACCATCAAATGACAGAATGTTTTCTCTGTTGAATATTTTGGGGCTATTTTCTTGTGTGTATATGGCTTGTATATCCTCAGCATTCAAAAAACGTAGAGTGAAGATGATTACATCAAGATGGGATGATGTAACAGATGATTCCTATATGAGGACCATGTTGGAAGATACCATCATGAGGACATGCAAAAGTGACCCAGTGCAAGGAACCTGCTACTTGGATGGACAGGAGATCGGTCTGGAATTAAGTGAGATCCTTAGCCACTGGGGTCTCATTGCACACACTCTCTGTTATTGAGGATGTGCTGGCCATAGACAGAAATGACAACTAGCACATTCAACCTGTGTTTGATGCAGTGTATTTATTTTGTTCTCCAGTGACAAGTGACTGTAGTGAACTTGCTAACTGATTCTGCATGACTGCATCAATGGGTTTCAAATGCATCAACTAACAAGGCCAAGCTGTACACTAAATGTTTTTTTCATTAATGCAGGTGTCCCCCAAGTCTCTATCCTTGGACCTACAAAGTTTCTAATTATCATTATCATTTCTGATTTCTTTATGTTCGTACACTTTTGAGACAGCTTGTGTAAACAGATGATAAATATATGATTCTTTATTATTTTTATTTTAATCATATTTTTAAAAGTAATTATTTAGATCAATAAATTTAAAGTAACATTTCTGTTTTTTCCACCCTCTCAACAAAAATCAAACAGAGTTAAATAATTCTAGTAAAACATAAGGTTTATTAAAAGCAATGAAATCCATAATGCTGCAAAATTTTATATTTATTCTTTTACTATTAGTAATTTGAGTTTATGGAATAGCATTGATGGTGATTATGAAATTTAAGCATTAGAATATATGACTATCATGAAGATGTAGGTTCAAATTTCCCAAGTAACTTTTTCTTTAAGTCTTTCATATATTTTAATGCATAAAATTCAGTCCTATTAATGGTAAGAAATTTCATCCAATATAGATAACAACAAAAGTTACATACGAAAAAATAAAACAGCAATTTGGAGTGAAAATATTTTCCTTTGTCAAATACATATTTTATAAATAAGTTTGCTTTGAAAGAGTAAATTTCAATCGATAAGTTATAAAATAAAAATGATAACATTTGGAATGATAAAACTGGACAGTGAATTATCCACTAGTGAATTCTTTTAAAATAAATTTACTATTAGTATTAATTTTTTGAGTTTAAGTACAATTTTAATATGATTTTCAGATGACAGACTTGTTTCATACAAAATGAGATTCTGACTTACGTTTTCATCACTTTAATTTCTTATTGGCTATTATTGATTTATTTTGGAATAACAGATATATTAGAAGGAAAACGTGTTGTGTTGACTGGAGCATCTACAGGAATTGGAGAACAAATGGCCTACCATTATGCCAGCCACAAAGCCAACCTTCTGATAACAGCACGAAGAGAAAATTTATTGAAGAAGGCAAGTCATTTAATAGAAATTAATTAAAAATATTTTTACTAGTTTAATTAATATTTGGAGATCATTTAAAGAAATAAATGAATCTGCACAAATGTCTTTTTTATTTTCAAATTGAATATGGATTAATAAAATCCAGTTGCATTTTCAGATTTAGTTTAAAATGGTTTGACTTAGAGGTTCCATTTTGTGTATATTTGCAATGCATAAATCATATAAGTTAAATTCTGATTGATTTCACCTGCTAAAATATAAGTGTGATCTTTTCAGAAAATAAGGTTTAAAAGAATATACTTAAATATTGATTACAGTGTCATTTTCATTTGATACATATGAATTGATATAACAATACTCTGAATCTTTTTATCTGAATTTCTGGGATGATGAGTTATTATTTACACTATATTCGGACTATTGTCCTCATCTTTGTTGTTTTTATCACAACATTTAAGCTGTTGTATCCTTTGGCCTTCTGCAAGTGTATATCAATCTGTGTAACCTACTGGGAATTCTGAAATTGAACCCTTTATTTAATCTATGGGGTAGACTTGTCCCACTATAAAAATTTTCTTTTTTATTACAATATCTTGATGATTTAACAATTCTGTCATAAAATTCCTTGAGAGTTCTTAAATATATTGAAATTTCTCACTAATATTGAAATTTCCTTGTTTACAGAATCCTTCAAATATGAAATTTCCTTATCAAAGGCTTGTGATTGCATAATCTTAAGCATGTATAGTTTAGCTGCATGTTTAGGTGCAGGCTGATTTTCCAAGTGTCTGGATTTGTTTATGAACTTGTAAACAAAAGCAGCTGCTTGACACAACTTCTTGAATTCTGAGAATATTTGAAAGAGAATCAGGCTCCCTTTCTATTTCAGCAGCTGTACTATAAAAACATTAGCTTCTATAAGATTTTTGTTTTCGTGATTTAGACAACACAAACTGCTTGAAGGCCATTCCACAAGTTCCTTTGTTAAACATGCTGGGCTGTTTGTCCTGTAATCCAGTTTTAGAGTAAACTTTTCCAGATCTTAAAGATTATCTCCAGTAGAAACATATTTGTATTCAGTTTACTTAATTGTTCTTTCATTTCTAAAATATCTTCCAGTCTGTTCCTTGTGATTGAGCTTTTGGCTTTAATTTTTTCTGAAAGATGCCAGGATCGAACAAACTTTGCATCTACTGAGATGTAGATATTTTTGATTTTTTATGAGTATGACTTTAGAATTGTGGGTAACGGTTTAAAAGATAAATACACTGCTAATAATATCAATGTAGGTAAAGTTTTAGTCTTCATTGGCAAAAACAATATGAGATTTTCCATTTTGTACTTCATAGATCACAAATCCATAGGCTTGAGGAGGAGTATCATTAAAAATTTATAATTTCAATGGATTGTCATTATTAATAGCATAGCTTGTAAATATAATGTTACTTGGGTCAGAAAAATTCTCTGCTAAAGGTGACCAGTTTTCCTTTACATCTACTGGTAAATCATTATCCCAGCCCAGCTTTAGGGACTATAAATATGGAAAATATTTTTACTTTAACTGAAACAGGGACACAAAGTGATAAAGGGTCAAATATTTCAGTAATTTCGGCTGAATACATTACTTCTTGTGGATACATTCTTGTTCACTGTAGTATTTGAAATGCATATAAATCCTTATTAGGATGGTATCTGTATTCCAAAACGTTTTTCAATATTACAACCATGTTGCATGATTCTTTCATCCTCTGTCATAAAAGATTTAAGAGGTTCATAATAAGAATTATTGAGTATAGCTCCTTTATACAAACTGATTATTTCTTGTGTAGAGTTACTTGTCTTACATAACTTATCTATGGAGAAATTTTAATGATATTTAAGAATGTAGTTTAATATAGAAAGATTGCCACTAAAGCCAAAAATCAATGCAGTGTAACACAAGCAGATCAGCTTATTTTCCTCTTTTATAAAAAAAAACAGAATCTATTTCTGTCCTCTTTGGATTTTAGTTTGACCATCAGTAATCTTTCCTGATGTCTCTTAGTAGGACATATTTAGTTGAGTAAGCAGCTTCATTGAGGTAGTAGCTACCCCCTGCTTTTAGCTAGCAGTTTGTTATGGAGTGATTTCACATTGGAGGCTTGTATTTGTACTAAGTCGGTCCTAAAACAGGTTCAATGTACAAAACGTTAGGAACTTCATATAATAGGTATAACGCAGAGGAAATCTAGTTGTGGTTGCTGATAGTTTTAGTATCCGACTGTCGTTCGACATCGACTGACTGAGTGACTCCTACTTATTATAGGTGGGAGAGTCTATTAACTATAGAATAGGTGTGTTCCACTATAACACAGTTAAAAACAGGCCCGATTTTCATGGTCACCTGTTCATCTGACTGGTCTGTGTAGAATCTATATATATTTGTAAAAGTTCTGAGGTGAGACTTCAAATCTCTATTATTCCCTTGGTTTTTGTTGGAAAAAAAAACTTCATTGTAAGTTTTATCCATATTTTTTTCTAGTGAATACATGGTTTTGTCAAGCACCTTAAAAACAACTTGGCAGTTTGACAGTACACAATGAATGAATTTTATCTTCATGCCACAGAGGATACACATAATTATTTTTTTTTTTTAACTTGATGGATTTTCCAAATTTCTCTATTTTTGTCATATTCATTGACAAAATCATCTTTGTTGATTGAAGAAGCTGAATCTCTATCAGACATTTTTTTCCAATTTTCTTATGACTGTAGAATATAGTTCAAAGGTGTCAGGGAAGGGTTCAGGTTATGGACTAGAAAATGCTTTGAAATTATAGTATGGTAGTTATTGTGAATGTCTGCAGAACATGCTACTGTAGGAGTAACCTGATGTCTGCATAGGAAATGTTGGCTATTTTCAAAAGGAATGATTCCAGTCGTTAGCTGTTCATACATTTAATAATTCTAGCACCATCCATAAGTTGAAAAATATCCACCTCTAACAAGTTCTGGATATTTATATAATCACTGTTCTTATAGTCAATTTATAATTCAACTAAGCATAGGAAGTAGTCTCCCCTTGACTACTTCTATTTAAAAACGATTTGGTATTCCAAATCATTTTAAAAGGGGAGACTACTCCCGTTAGTGTAGTGTTTTCGTAGCTGCACCCAAATAAGTTTGAAGTTCACAGAATTTTGATAATTGTCAGAACATTTTAACTTCTTTATTTAGAACCTACTAGAAAAATAAGAATGTTGGCTGCCAGTATCCAATAGACAATTAATAATGATATTCCTTTTCCCCCTCAATCTAGCCTGTCTGCTACAATAGGTAATATGAGTGCGCAGCGGTATTCACTCACACCATAGGAGTCATAAATTTGGGCTTGTGTTCACAAGGAAAAACCAAACAAACAAACGTACACACTAACAATAAAAAATATGGTAAATTCTATGGTAATTTCATACAATTTTATTTATGTATTTGTGTGTGTGTGTGTGTGTGTGTGTTTTATAGTACAATTATGATAAGGTTCATATTATAAAAGGGAGTAAGTCACTCTATAATATCACAGGTCCTATCATGGAGAGTAGCTACACACATGTTGTCATTCCGACAGTTCTTTCACAAAGAGAATGAATCCTATGTCTTTTGGTGGGATGTCTCTATACTCCGAGAAGGAATAGTCCCTGTTGCATGCTGGGAGTAATTTTTTTATTTTTTTTTTATTTATTTATTTAATTTGTTAAATGAGGTTTAAATTTTATTTTATTTATAATTTTCATTATTATTATTATTTTATATTTTCTTTTTTATTTATAATAGTAACAATGTTCCTACATATAACATCCTCAGTACTGGTAGTGATGTATGCCTATTTAAAGTAAAAATAATCATTGTTTTTGGAGAAATGGGCTCTCCTCCCAGAATGTGTAGTTGTTTTTGGTAATGAGTGTTGTTTTGAGTGTTTAGGTGGTGATTTTATTGAATGTTTCTTGTTATGGTTTTGTAATAATATCATAGGATTTAATCTCTAAGTGTTTTCCTGCAGAATGCTCTATAATAAATTATTTTTCATGTTTGGTAGTAACTTTGTAAGGAGCTTCAAGGGGTTTCCTGACTATCTGTTCTTAACCGGACGTGGATTGAAATGTATAGGTTTTGTGGGATGAAAGGTTGCTGAATGTAATGGTCTTTCAGAAAGGAGTGATAGGTTCAGTTTAGTCATCCTTTCAGAAAATTGTCCAAACTTTTCTTTGGTTATTGTGGAGCTGTTATGTTCTATCAAAGGTTTTAGTTGTAATAGTTGGGTTCCAGTGAGAGTGATGGCAGGTGAAATATTATCTTCATTGGGTACATTTCTCATACCAAGAAGAACTATTGGTAGAACGTTTATCTAGTTTTACTTTCTGGTTATGATGGCTGTTTTTAAAGTTCTATAGTGGCGCTCTATTATTCCATTTGTTTGGAGGTAGTATGAGGTTGCATGGAGTCTTTGGAATCCTATAATGGTTGATAAGTCTTTGAATAGTTTGCTTTCAAACTTGCTGTGATGACATGAAGTGCAACTATGAAGTAAGCCATCCAAGTGTTGAGGAATGCTTTGGCTATTGTATTTGCTGAGGTGTCTTGAAGAGGAATTGCTTCTATCCATCTCATTGTTCTATTGATGCAGGTAAGAATGTATTTTGCTGGTGATGGGGAGATGCCATCATATGTGGTTGCTGGGGGCAATGGCCCAATGATGTTGATAAAGACCATTTCAAATCGTCCAAATGTAGTGAGAAAGTTGTAGTTTGTGTCTTAGCATGTCTGTAAATTTTGTTGACAGCTTCTGACCATTTGATGTATATTTTTGTCCATATTCAGCCAGTAGTATATTGACTTTATCAATTTTGCTGTAGGATTAGGACCAAGGTGTGAAATGTGAAATTTATTGAAGATGTGTTTGTGAAGAGATTCTAGAATGAATGGTCTTGGTGTGAATAAGAAAAGAGATGTTTACTTGTTTTTTCTTTTGCTCCTTCAATTGGTTAATTTTTTTTATGGATTTTCTGGTACCCGGGTGAATAAATAAGGAAACATCTTTTTTTCTTATCTGTATTACATAATGGAGTAATGTGTCCTTTAGAAGAACAACGTTTACATTTAAATGTTAATTGATTTTCATTTTTATTTGTTTTGTACTCTTGCACATATCACGCAATGCCAGTTTATAATCCAACTTGGAAAAGTTAGACTTCATTTCGTGGAAGTGGTCAAATTTAAAATTAATATTAAATTGTTCATCTTAGAAAATGAAGTAGTCTCCCCTTGACCATTTTAAAAACAATTTGGTGTATTATTTTGTTAGAAGCACCCAAATAGGTTTTAAATTTAAAGTCCACAGGAATTTTATAATTGTCGGAACATTTTAACTTCTTTTTTTTTAGAATCGACTAGAAATCTCTAATAACGTTGGCTGCCAGAATCGAAGTGATAATTCATAATGATTTCTACAATATAACATTACTCATACTGCCATTCATTGGTACCCAAATGAGTAAATAAGTTTTCTAAGTTTTACATAACAGAGGTGAGATAAAAATATCCAAACTGTAATAAACACCTGGGATTATTTACTCAAATTAACTGCCATTATTGTAAAATATTTTCTTAGGATCAAAAGTGTTAAATAGTATCTTATCCCTCACCTTTTCCAAGTTGCTCTCTCTTTTTACCTGTCATATTTTATTATATTACATTATTTCTTAAAATAGTAACTCTGTTCAATTATACAAATGTTGCATCTTCTATTGTTATAAAATGGAAAATGAATACTTTTTGTTTTACTGTTTATAGTAAAATAACCCTATAGAAAATACATTCTATATTTTTGAGAGCATTTTTCTTAATTGCAAAATGTTTCATTGAAACTTAGAACTCTCTCTTTAAAAGTGTCTATGAAAGATATTATTTTGAAATGTATAAATTATTTTGCCTATTTATCTCAAATGAATTATTTATAGTTATTTATAGTATGAAGCAATTGAAAGTCTTTAAATCCTGGATTTTATGAGTGAATATAGCTGAACAAGTTGAAATGTTTGTAGATAGGCAGGCAGTAGCAAAGAACAAATGTTAGATTTAACTTGTTTATTTGTTATTATTCCCAGCCAGGTTCAAAATGGGGTTGAAGACACTTGTGTGATTAAACCTGTGAACTAAATGCTGCTTTTAAAATCTTTTCTTGATATTCCCTCTGTAGCCATCTATAAAGCAATTTAACAAACAACCCCAACTCTTATATCTATTAAATTGTATAGTAAATAGTTAAGCATTTTTCCATGTTTGAAGCCTCCAGTGTTCAGCTGGGAGGAAAATTTTTGTACTTTATATTTCACAGGTGAGTGCAACACACCTGTGAAGTTTACTTTAATATGAATCAGCTCTCCTTCATTACTTTCAAGATTCATTTGTAAGAGATGTTGATGTTATTTGCCAATCTCTAGTAGTAAAAAAAATTTTTTTAAAGTTATTCAACTTTGATTAAAACAGGTAAAGTTGTTTTAAAAAGTTGTAAATTTTTTAACTTTGGTATTTATTCTCAGTGTAGTTTTAGTAAGATCTAAATTCAACTGAAATCTCTCTTTTGGTTCTTGTGAAAGAATTAAAAATAAGTATTGCCGTGTTGATTTGTTTGCCTATAAGACTTACACAAAAACAAAATTTGTGCTTGTAAGACATTTCAGAAGGCAGACTAGGACAGCTTTAAATGATATATGATGGAAGCTCCTCTCTCAATCTTCTTCAAGCAAAAACCCAGCCTTCATTCATTCCTGAATGCACTACAGCAACAGCTCACAGGAACCACTACTTCAATATTTATTACAAGGAGTGGTTTAATTTGACAATTACTGCATCCAGAACTGCCTGCAATTACTGCAAGAAATTTCTGGAAAATGCAAAGTGCACCTATGCAAAAACTGTCCAGGCCAAAGTTGAAAAGAAACAAACTGGATCCTGTTATTCTGGAACATTGCCAACCAAATCATGAACAGAGGAAAAGTAGCTGTATCCACTATTATAAATGCCCTTAAGGTCATATCTTCCTTGACAGACTAGGTGAAGCTCATTGTCTTGATTTTTGCCTCAAACTCAACATTAGTTGACAAAGGCCATCCCTACTCCAACTTTCCACATCTCACTGAGCACAGTCTCAGAAATATTTTCATTACAGCATGAAAAGTCTTTAGACTTATTGAAAGCCTTGACCCTAAGCCACTGACTCAGACAAAATTCCAGTGGTTGTCCTTAAGAATATCCACCCAGAATTATCCATGATCCTAGCAGTTATTCAACTTCTGCTTGAAGGATAAATCCTTCCCAAGCCAGTGGAAGGTGTCAAGTGTATGCCCAGTCTTTAAGAATGTGGGCAGACAATCTTCCCCCTTCATGTAGAGAATCTGTCAATCTCTTCAGTATCATCAGTAAGGTTTTGGAGGATATAATCAACAAGAAAGTCACTGAGCGCCTACAAAGGACAACCTCTTAAGTGATGAGTAGAACAGGTTTCAGTCAGCCCAAACTACTTCTGACGTCATAACTACCATTACTCACAGAATTAGTAAGGCTCTTGACAACAAACACACCTTGAAGATTAAATATTTCAAAGGCTTTTTACAACATTTTGCTAAACAAGCTCTTTAATTATGGAATCATTACAAGGGTCTTCTCAATTATAAAATCCTTCCTAACAGGTTGGTCCCTGAAGGTAGTTATTAATGGCTATGAATGATCTGCCTAAGAATATACTCAGATCATTTGTAAACATTTATGCTGATGGTATGACGATATATGCATCTCTAAAACTCTTCACAATTGCAGCTGATCTCTCTTCCGATCTAGCACTAACTTCCCAGTGGGGAAAAAACTGGCTGGTTACATTCAATGCCTTGAAAACAAAACTAGTTACATTTTATCACCACTGATCAGACCCAAACTACTACCAATCATGATGAATGGATGTCCCTTCAGGGAAGCACCATGCCTTGAGACCATTGGACCTTAAACTCACACCTGACCTCTTATATACAATCCATTTCTAATGATGCAGGTAAAATGGTCGGCTCTCTGTACTATTCCTGTAAGTACTTGGCTGCTCATGTTATCCTCTATTTTTACAAGAACCAGATCAGGCTGAAAATAGAGTACTGTTGTCATAGTTGTGTGAGAGCTTCCCTGTCCTCGTTTTCCAGTCAATAGTTCAAGTGTCTCTGAGTTGATGAATTATTTTCCACCCTCCAAACTCTCTCTTTTTACCTACTAAAGTCTAGAGCTCTTATTTTTCACTCCTATCTGTATAAACTGCCTCTTAATGTAACCCTCTACCTTTGAGTGGCCCCCGGGCCTTGTACAGGGTTAACCTTACTAAAAGAAAAAAAGAGAATGTGAAATAAAATTAAATTATCTTCCTTTGTTAATTAAGATTAGACTACTGATAATGTTTGTGAATAAAGGGGACTCATTTTAATAATGTAGACATATCTTTTATCCATTTTAATTTATTTAGTAAGAAAAGACACCCTTTTTTCATATAAAATTTGTTTTTCAACATACCAATATCTACAAATGCAATAATATTATTTATTAAGCATGATTATTTACTGTGGTCTTTCATTTCAGAAACAAATCAAACAAACTTATCAGATTTCCTCTAACTTACAGGTGATTAACCATTGTAAAACTGTTGGTGAGCCAAATGGAATCTATAGTTACATCACTGCAGACATGAGCAACATGTCATCAACAGAAATGGTAATCAAGGTGAGGAGAATAACTATTTTCTAATCTTACAAAAAATGCTTCTGTTGCAGTTGTTAACAATTTATTGAATCTTTCCTGGTAATCAATGCAGAAAGATCAAACTGTAGTATCTGTTTTGTTTCTAAATAAAGCAGGCAGACAAGAATTTAATTTTTTTTTTTTTAGTTTAATAATAGACAAGTTTGGATTGATTTCAAAATCTTACCCTATAAAAGTATTCTTAGAATGGAATTTAATAAAACAGAAACGGATTTGATAGTCTATGAGCTAATAAATTTTTACACCTGAAGAAAATATATAAGTTTAATTTGAAGCAATTTAAAATAGCTCACAGTGAGTGCTCGTCATAATAAAACAATGTACAATGTAAAATAACAACTGAAATTTATACTAATAAATATACATTTGTTCAGTACTGTTTGGTACAACTTTGAGTTTTATGCATGTAGCCCTCATTAGACAAATTGGCTGTTGTGAAATGTTATTACTAATATTTATAACCTACTGTTAAGATAGTGGAACAGTCCAATTACTTATGAAAAAAAGTATATATATTTGTAAAAAAATGGATTAAATGCAGAAACCAAATACATTGTAAAAAATATACAACTAATTACAAATATATATATAAAATACATGTACACATCAAGTGCTCCAGACCAGCTGCAATCTTTAGCTGAGTGCTGTGCTTCAAAAAATTTTATGTCCATTATGCTTGGTACTTCTCCACATGGTGGGTCCACAACAGTTGGAAGATGTTATGTTGCAACTGGTCTATGTTGTTAGCTGGACGCAACTCTGTATGAATTTCAGGGTAATCCATGCGCTGCCTTCCACTGTTTTCTCACCACAGATCTTTATGACCTTATTCAACTTTGTATACCAGTGCACTTGCAGCTGTATCCCCTCTCACAGATTCATACCAATGCAGGTTTCTTTCATAAGTGTCTTCAATCCCTTCCTACTATGCTACCATCATTTCACCAAACAGCAGATTTTTTTTCTCATTATCAATCAACAATCTGGCCTCAGTCCAGGCACAATAACTTCCCCTGGCATTGTCGCATCAACTAACATTGTCCATTTCTTTGAGCTCTCTAACTTAGTCTTCTGCCTCTTGTCAGTCACACCTTGCTACAGGAAGACAATCCTTTGCAGGTACGATGAGGGTATATTAGCACTTCTCGATGCTGCTGCCACAACCCCCTGGACCAAGTTATGTCTAAAGGTGTACCAGCCATTCTGTATCGCCTTTGGGCAGGATGATGACTCCTGCACTCCTTGTTTCCCCAAATCTGCAGGTGCTGCCACAACATCATATGTTGACTGAATGAAGAACTTAAAATGTCCTGTGCCGAGATGCCACCAATCAGACTAAGTGATCTGAACACTATCAATACCCTCCCCAGTTGAGTCATCGACCCTGCTGAGCCTGTTGGACAGACAGCACCAAATCATCTCCCCTCCTTGAGCTTTCAAACTCTCTATTCATGTAACTTGCATTGCTCTTGGCCATTGACCAGAATTGCTCTCTTTCTCCACTAAACCAAGTCCAGCATGTCCCTCCCTTATAACACCTGGATTCTCTACTTGCTTTACCATCCCTTCTACTGCTGACATTTTCCACTTTCTTCCTGTCTTCACCACCTTCACCTTTACCACCTTGTACTCCTCCACCAAAGAAGTAACAGGTAACTGAAGCCCCTCTGAGCTGCCATACAAAGTGGCCAGCGACAGAATCTTCGTAACACCAAGCCAAATCTGTACGTATTTACTGTTCTTCCTCTCAGTTATCTGAACTCGAAACAGTGCTACCTCATATATAGTTAATGGCCACAATAGTCTCAGCATCAAACTGAAATGCATATACCAGACTTTAAATTTTTCAGAAAGCCTGCACAGGTCTATGCTTCACAGACCTGCCACTGCTTGTTGCTGGATTTCAATCCTGCAGTAATGATCTGTCACAGGGAAGTTATACCACCTCCCAAGACACTTCACACCTTGCTCCTGTTGACTTCTTTTCCTCTGCAATGGAGAACACTTCATTAATGACAGAACCACCCTTCATAGACAGTGACCTTTGCTCTTCCTTGGTTTGAAGGTCATCTGATCTCACTCTACCAACTCTGCAAGTCTCTCCAGAACCAACTGTGCTGCTTTCCTATTGTCTTGAATTACTGTTAAGTCACCATAAATGCCTGGATTTTGACCTCATTCTGCAGGAAATAGTGCTTTGGCTTCAGATCTCTCAGGATCACTGCCATCTCCATCACAAACAGTACTGGAGAAATGGCACATTCCCCTCTGCAGTTCCACATACCTTGAGGTGTACTTCACTATTGAAAAATGGCGTGAATTCATCAAAATATATACCCAAGCAATCTCTGAGTCTCTGCAGAATGTAGAACTCCAGAACCATCTCTATCATGTTATTACAGAACTGTATGCATTAGCAAGATTCAGCCAGATGATGTGGATATTCTTCCTCACAGTTTTAGCCTCATAGATTTTTTGCCCAAATCATTGACACATACTCCATGCACTCTGAAAAACCTGGAACTCCTACCTTTTGGATATTAGTGTCAATGTAGTTATTCCCAAGCCAGTAGCTCATTAGCCGCCTGGAAAACACCATGAAGACAATGTTTCCCTCAATGTTCATGAGAGAGATTGGACAAAACTGACCAATAGTCAACGAGTTCTCCTCTTTTGGTATATATACAGCATTAGCTCAACACCAATATACTAGAACATCGCCAACTTCCCAAATCTTCACAAGAAGCCTTCACAGATACATCAGCAGCTAGATGGCATATGTCACACCATTAGGTCCACCCACAGAACATGCTCTTGACTTCCATATAACTCTGTGGACCTCCTTCCAAGTCACTGGGGACTCATCAAAAACTACTTCAGGGATGCCAGGCCTGAATGAACCTGGCACCACCTCTGCTGGGACCTCCCTGTTGGCATCAGTATGCATTCATAAGGTATCTCTCCAGCCCCTCCTGATCAATACTCAGTATCCATTAATCTTCTCCCTAAACAACTGCTTCGTGAAGTGGAAGGGACTTTCTGTGAAAAACTTCCAGGCCATTCTGCTCTATTCAACTTGATAATGAGCTTCCTTATGCCCTGCAGGATTGATTTCCTTAGCTCTCTGCTCATCAGGACACATTGCTGCTCATAATCTTTGCCTTTCTTTCCTCAGTGACTGGATGGTTCCCTGACACTGACTTTCCTGCACTGGTGCTAAGGACTTAGCTTTCATTTACTTCAATCCAAACTTTAGTAGACCATAGTTACTGATTATGTCCCCAACTTTGCTTCCTGGACCACCCCTGAGTGTATGGATGACTACTGTTAAGTCTTCATCCATCTCTGGCCAGGCCCTATGCACAGAGAAAGGTGACTTGATAATTCGGCAACTGAAATCAATTTCCAAAATAGGATCCTGCAGAACATTGGTGTTCATCCTGGTCCTGACACTCCGATGACTTATTGATTACTGCCATAAACTTCTTTGTCACTGAGTTGCAACCAATTATTTATAGATACAAATATTTATGTAAATCCTCTGTTTAAAATAAACAGTATTAAAAAGAATGTATAATGAGAAAATATATTCAAATAATTGTCGGACTTAGTCCATTTCATAATATATAATTTCATTTGTTTACGTTAAGATACACTTCAAGCAGATATGAGCATTTGAGGGAAATCATGGGAAATTTGTTGTTTAAAAACAGTAATTGGACTTTGCTAACCAGACACTTCCTCTGTAGCTAAATGGTATAGCATGTCAGGCTATATGATGGTTCCATATAGGATACATGTTCGATTCCCGTTGGAGGACAAATATTTTCCATGAAATTTCTCAGACATTCAGGCTGGTAAATGTAGTTAATACTGTTTATTATAAACAGAGCATTTACTTAAATATTTGTATCTATAAAAATAATGTATAAATAGAAAAAATATATTTATATAAATATACATTTATACATATAAAATGAGAACAAATATAAATTTAACATTCATAACATTAATTTAAAATAGGGTTCAATACAAATCAATAGTAGAGCAATATTCTAGAAAAAACGCTACACATATGCAATCATGTTTTGATGTGTATTAATGCATCTCATCAGGTGTTAGTAAATGACTGATTATTAGAGTCATTGGGAATACTTCTTTAAATGTGTGCGGACTGACTAACTTTTGTATTCTTCCTCCCAACTCTTTCTAATCTTGCTGAGAATTGCAAACCAATAGCTATAAAATCTATAAAGTACAGTGAGCAAGATAAAGAATTCATTACTGCTGAAGTAAATAGACTATTTTCAGAAGGAATTATTCAGCCCAGCACTTCTCCTTGGTGGGCCCAGGTCATAGTGACCACTAATAAATGACATAAAAAGAGAATGGTTGTCAATTATTCTCAGACAGTTAATAGATTCACTATGTTGGATGTTTACCCTTTACTTAAGATCGAGGAATTGGTAAACAAGGTGGCACAATACAAAATCTATAGTACTATAGATTTGAAATCTGCTTACCACCAGGTCCCAATATCTGATAAAGACAAAATTTATACTGCCTTTGAAGTAGATGGAAAGTTATATCAATTTTGCAGGGTACCATTTGGAGTAACCAATGGAGTAGCTTGCTTTCAAAGGATAATTGATAAGTTTATAGCTGACAACTCACTCTCTCACCCATTCGCTTACTTAGACAATATAACTATCTGTGCTAAGAGCCAGGAAGAGCACGATGAGAACCATGATAAATTTATGGAAGTGGCCAAGAAATACAATTTAATTTACAATCATAATAAATGTTCTTTCTCCAATTCTACAGTGAACCTTCTAGGCTGCACAATATCTGAGGGTACAATGAAACCAGATTCTTAGAGACTTCAACCACTTAAAGAACTTCCCCTTCCTCGCCATTCTCTTTGTCATGCACTTGGAATGTTCTCTTACTATTCCAAATGGATTGCTAAATATTCTGAAAAAGTTGCTGCCCTCATACAAGCTAATAGTTTTCCACTATCCAAGACTGCTGAAAAAGCCTTTGAACACCTGAAAACTGAGGTTGAAAATGCAATAGTGTATTCTATTGATGAAATGTTTCCTTTCAATGTAGAGATTGATGCTTCATGCAACACAATTGCAGCCTCATTGAACTAGTCTGGTAGATCTGTAGCTTGCTTTTCAAGGACATTGAGTACCAGCAAACATAAACACTCCTTTTTATAGAAAAGGAAGCTCAAGCTATTGTAGTGGCATTTACGTTTGAATCAAAACAAGCTGGGAAAATGAAAAATGATAAGATTCAAAGGTGGAGGGTCGAACTTGTCTGCTATAGTTTCGATATTAAATACCCGTCTGGGGAGAGATAATGTTACTGCAGATACGTTATCTAAAGCTTATTGTTCAGCTGTAAGTTTGGACACCCTAGAAAAATTACACAACTCTCTTTGTCATCCTGGTGTTACGCAAATGATGCATTTTGTTAGGACGTGGAACCATCATTTCTCTGTGGAGTATGTAAAGAGAGTATCTACTACTTGCCCTTTATGTTCCGATGACAGACCTTGATTTTACCGACCTGACGGATATTCTCACTTCCCATTTGCCTTTGCTTGTCCTGATATGTCATTGAAGTCATCTGATGCCTCATTCAACTCTTTGTTATATTTGGTATGCCAATGTACATTTGGACAGGGGTTCCAGTTTCATGTCGGCTGAGGTGAAATCCTTCTTGCATGGGAAAGGAATCTCAACTAACCAAATCCAATCCTGATAACCTCCAAAGTAATGGGCAATGTGAAAAGGTATAATGGTGTTTTGTGGAAAGCAATAACTCTGGCACTCAAAACTCAATGCCTTTCTATAAATCAATGGGATAATGTTTTGCTAGATGTTTTGCATTCAATGCACACATTACTTTCAACAGCTATGAATGCTACACCTCATGAATGGCTATTCAACTATTCTTGCCAAACCTCCAGTGACTATTCTGTTCCAACATAGCCAACAACACCAGGAAAGTTCTAAGATGACATGTCAGACAATCAAAGTACAACCCTATTGTGGATGAGAAGCCAATCCTTGTTATGCACACATTCATCTCCAACGGCAAGGAAACTACAGTATCACCCAGAGATCTCGCCCCCTCTGGTTTCAGTCAGAACTGTTCTCCTGAGATACAAGACTGACTTACCCATTCAAACTTTGAGACCTTACATCCCGACAAAACTGACTCTAGTACAGATACACCAGAAAATGAAATCGAAATTCCTTTATGTTGATCAGAGTGAACACATAGACCTTCCAACCACTTAATTTATTAGTAAATCTTTTGTTGATTTCCTTAAATCAAATAAGGTTATAAAAGAGATACTTAAAAATTGAAATAAATCCTGCTAGGATATAATCTTTCCATAATATTGATTGACTAACTGTGACAAATTATTTCTAGAAGCAGGGGAGATTGTGGTGAACATTTCTCCTCAGTCCCACTGCCTATCATCAAAAATGGACTGTGCCTGCTTATAAATAATTTCTTTTGTACGAACTGTTCTATTTTTAGAAATAAAACCTAATTTGGCTTACTCTGCTCGATGTCTTTTATTACAACTGGTAGTGAATTGGTCATAATGCATAAAAATGAAAAAAATTGATTTCTTCTTATCAGTAAAATTTGGCAATATTTTCTAGACTATTTGAATTAAACTTCTAGTTAGTAATTTTTTTTTTATTTCTTGCAGGAAGCTGTGGCCAAAATGGGTGGCATTGATTACCTTGTCCTGAACCATATTAAAGAAATTTCTCTTGGAGAATGGAGTGGTTCTTCAGATAACTTAACTATGCTGTCTAATCTCTTTGATATCAACTTCAAAGCTTATGTCCATCTTGCATCCTATGCATTACCACTATTAGAAAAAAGTGGAGGAAGCATTATTGTTGTCTCTTCTATAGCAGGTAAACAACACATGACCTCTTTTCCCACTTCACAGATATTAAAAATCACTAAACTTGTTTTATATATTTTTTTTTTTTTTTCTAAACATTTCACCCCAAGCAAGGCGGGAAGCCAATAGGACGCAAGGGGTTACAGAAAATAGCAAGATCAGATAGGAGTGATAGAAGAAAGAATGAGGGTAGTGGATAGATCAAGGCAACTGGAGATGTTGATTGACATTACACTTGAATAGCTGGAGATTATAGCTCACAGGGAAACAGGAGAAGGGAAGGGAGTTCCACAGGTGAGAGGTGCGAGACATGAAGCTATTATAGTAGAAGAGACGGCTACATTTAGGAGTTTCGACAGTGAAGGGGTGAGAGCGGGATGCCAGCCTCGTAGGGCGCTTGAACTCATGACGTCTGGGAACCAGTGAATGCAGCTCCTCGAAGCAATTTCCATGAAAGTATTTGTAGAACAGACAGAGGGTGGCGACGGCGTGTATGTGAGAAAGTGACTGTAGACGAGACGCCAGGGCAGGGCCAACTACATTGCATATCCGATTCTGTAGCCTATCAAGAACCCCGAGGCAAACAGAAGGGGCACCAGACCATATATGGCAATACCCATGCAAGGGCGAATTGTGGATTTGTATATCTGGAGGATCGACTCCGGGAGAAAAAACTTCCCTATAGCGTGGCTCAGGGAGCCAACTTTCCTTGCAGTGGACGAGGCAATTGACTCGATGTATTTATTCCATCTCAGGTCAGCAGTCAACGTGAGACCGAGAAGCCGCAGAGAGTTTTGTTCTCGAAGTTGAGCGTCAGACATTCTAATGGAGGGAAGTGAAGGATCTCTGTGGTGATTAATAGAGAGCAGTTTTGTCTGAGAAGCGTTGAAGTTGACCAGCCAATTCTTGCCCCAGTTCACAATCGATTGGTGGTCCTTTTCGAAACGCACGGCAAGGTGAGTTTTGTCAGTGAGACTAGATTTGTTTTTGAGGCAGGAATAAATTGTGGTGTCATCCACGTAGATGCCGACTTGGGAAGTTACGGCGTCAGGAAGGTCATTTATATAGATAAGGAATAGAGTGGGGCCTAGGATGGAGCCTTGAGGAACACCTGCGTTTGTGGGATAGAAATTGGAGGAGAATCCATTGAGAACGACCTTCAATTTACGGTTTGACAGGAATGATCATATTAGGTTATATAATCGACCCGTAATGCCATAACCCTGGAGCTTGCGCAAAAGGCCGGCATGCCAAACCCTATCAAATGCTTTGGAGATGTCTAGTGCCACAGCTTGGGCTTCCCCGTTATTTTGGAGAGCTTGGTAGACTGTTTCAGTGATGGCTGTGAGCACATCGGCTGTAGATTGGGCAAAGCAGAAACCATATTGCTTGTCTGAGATGTGAGGTGGTTAACCACCCCAGTATTGATTAGAGCTTCAAAGACTTTGCCGAAGAAGGGAAGGAGACTGATAGGACGGTAGTTGGAAGGGTCAGAGGGTCAAATTTTTCTTGAAGACAGGAACAATCAAAGAGGACTTCCAGCAGTCAGGAAAACAAGATTCTTTGAGGCAGTAGTTGTATAGTTTAGAAAGGGCATTAAAACAGTTCAGGCCATGCATTTCTTCAAGACAATTGCTGGTATCCCGTCACCGCCACTAGCTTTGTTGGGATCTAAATTAGAGATAATGCCCAGTACCAAAGATGGGGTTATGCTTAACCCACTCAATATGGCCTCAGTTCTAAGAAGGAAGTCGGGTATGGGTACACCGGTTGTATATCTTATGCTAAGAGAAATTACTTTTTAAAAGAAAATATATACAGACTTTAACATTTATCTCTATATAGAGAGTTAATTTTTGTCAGAATATTTGCAGGAGAAATCTTTTTATTTAAAACAATTTGGGACTATATAAAAATATTTGAATCAAAAATGTATTTCCTTTGGCCATTTCAAATATAATAATGACTATTTACACTATTTACATTGTTCAAACTGTTGTCCTCATCTTTGTTGCCATATTCACAAAGTTTTGGCTGTTGTATGCTCAGGCCTTCTTCAGATGATTAGAATTTTGAATTGAACCCTTTATCTCATCCACCAGGGAAAATTGTTCTAGTTCCACTATGTATCAGTTATTTAACTCAACTTTCCAAGTTCTTCAATAGCCAGGTATTCACAACTCTTTGGGTTAAGTCACTGGATCCAACACTTATCTACTGGGCCATGTGTATTCATTTTTATAAACCTAATGTCTAAGTAACATTTTTTTCTACCAGAGCTCATATTACAATTTTTCTTGTTATTGTTTTTCTCTATGACTTCATATTACTGGTTCCCATATTATATTCATTTCTATGCTTGGCTGGCTTAGATTTTTGTGGCTTAGCATATGCGCTGATTCCTCAAGTTTTTATATTTTCCAGTGATGTTCTCTGTCTATTATTTCAACCTCATCCTAATGAAGGTGGTGATCTCCCTTTTCTCTCCATATGTATTCAGCTATACCTGAGTTTTCTATTACGGCTTTACAATGTTCTTGCAGTTTTATCTTAGGTGGGCAGCCTGTTTCTCTTTTATATTTCTTACCACAGCAGCATAGGATGGCATACACACAGTCCTTAAGCATGTTCTCCTCTATGGATGGGGGGGGGGTATTACTCGGAAGGGGTGTCCGTGAAGTGTTGAATCACTTTTGAAGGTCGTCCTGATGTTATAGGGTAGGCACACTGAAACTGTTTTCTGAGTATAGTTATCATTTTGTACCCTTCTAGCCCAGTTTGTCAGAGCTGCTGCCATCTACTCAGAGTAGTTGTTACATTGTAGGGTACTGCTTATACTGACTATTTCTTGTTCATATCTGTCTGGGTCAGCACTTATGACTTTCTTTCCCTTGATGCTGTAAGCAGCAGATGATCCCTTTCTTTACGCTATATGGGTGATGGGAGTTGAAGTATTGTCCTGTAAATGTTGGCTTGCAGTGTACGGATCTCTTGAACCCATGCTCTGTTCCAGATATTAGTACATCCAGGAATGTTAGTTTGTTGTTGTTTTCTCTCTCTCTATTGTGAACTGTATCAATGATCTTATTGAATTTACATGGTCCAGTAGTAGTTGGATCTCTTCCTGGAGTATGAATATGTCTTCTATATATGTCAGCCATTGGGTCAGCTTTAGTGATGTGCATTCTAATGCCATTTATTCAAAGTATTCTATGTATATGTTTGCCATTGCTGGTGATAATGGTGAGCCCATTGCTAACCTCATCACATCTGTGTTTACGGTTATAGTCTAGGAAAAGATTAAATAGGCTGGGGCTCTCATTTCCTCCTTGTACTCCTGATGAGGTCTAAAATGTTTCTGTATTTAGGGTCCTTACCAGACATGGAAGATACTGTAGATTGCTATAGTTCCTCTATTAGTTTGGTGCATTCAATGGATTTGGAGTTTAGAAAGAAGGTTTTAATGGATGAGAAGAGGAAGTCCCTATTGATGTGGTCATATACTGCTATGAGCTAAACAAAACATGTATACAGTTTCCTATTAGAGAGGTAAGCAAATTCTTGGAGTTGTTTTATTATATAAATGCCATCGTTGCATCCCTTACCTGAATGAAAACCAAACTGGGTTGTGAGGAGTTGACTTCTGTAAAACAATGAGTCTGGTTAATATAATGTTCATTAATACTTTCACCATGATGGATCCAATTCAGATACTTCTGTATATGTGAGGGTTTTCTTTTCTGTTTTCATAACACATTAATGCATGATAGATCCCACTTTTGGGAGGGGCATTTCTGATTCTAAACATCTTTCATAAAATAGAGAAACTTGTTATTGAATTCATGGAGAAGTTCATTTATTTTCAAAAATTCAGCTTCAATGTCAAATTATGCTTTATTATTTTTATTAGCTTTGTTAATTTCCTCATCAGTAGGTTTGTTATTGTCTTTATTTGGGAATGGACATTGTAATGGTTGGATAAATATTGATATGTGTTTTATTTCTGTGAGCATCTTAAGTTTAGTTTTGTCAGGGTTGAAATGTGATTCAAAATGATTTTTGAGATCAGGACATTTTTTTCTTTGGTGGTTAAATTTTATGATATTGTAATTTTTTTCTTCACATTTTAACACCTTAACACATTATCTATACTGCTTACCTTCATTAATTTCATTTCCAATTTTCCAGAGATAATGGTTTCTCAAAGAATCAACTACCATATATACTTGTGTATCATGTGACTTTTGCAGAGCTAATTTTAAGAGGATCATATTGTACACAAGATATAAAATTAGCATATGTACTGTTGGCCCTGACAACACAATTGACCAAAGTATATATCCATTTACTGTAGTTAAAAAGTACAGCTGTATTTAAAATAAACATTGCACATTACATAAGTATATACAGGATATTTTTATTTTCTTTGTGGTTTGGTATTTTTCCTTCCATTTTTTACCTCTTCAGTTTTTCTTTCTTACCAATATTTTTTCAATTCAAGTTTATTATCCCATTGATGTATTTTTCTCTTCTAAGTCTTCTTGGAGGTGATCTTACTTGTGTCAGCTAACGATATGAAAACATTATTAGATTCGTCTGACATCAATTTGGACTAATTTATTACTAAATTTTAAAAGTACCCTTTTCATTTTTAAGGGCTTCAATGTTGTACCTTGAAGCTTTCCTTAGTTTATGTGGACAGAAGTGAGTTGTTTTGTTCACTGCTATTGTTAGTTTAGTTACAAGTAATACAGTCCATGAATCAATCCAAATGGTCATAAAAGTCACAAGATCAGCAAACAAAACCAATTCAATATGAAAATCTCCCTGCACTGTTATGAAATGACCACCAGCCTTTATGGTGCTTTTTTGGCAAATAGTCTCAAGGCGTCTGTGTCACTTTTGAACCCTATTTGACTGGAACTATGAGAACCGTGTTTCATCAGACTATACATTTACAGGTCTCCAGGATTCAATTAATGATGTAAGATGCTGTGACAGGATATTAACAAGGACACTCTGGTGAATCTTCTCCCATATCTCATAGAATTTAAAGAGGGCTGAAACCCTGGCTGGCCACTGTGCTGTCTGCAGTTGGTGATAATATCTTTGATGAGATCTTTCCAATAAACATGTGGCACCATAGATTGAGGGATGTCAAATGTCCCCATAATTTCAGAAATGAAATGGCATCCACTATCTTGTCCTGTTTGAACCCCAATAATTTATGTTGTCTTGCCAAGCCAGTGTTTACAGTGACTCATCGGTTATGAAGAGCACAACTGATTTAGGACTGAGCATTTCCATGATGTCAAGTTATGATGATATCACACACCATTGTCTTTACAAACGGCTATCCCATGACATAACATATCAGTATATACAGTGGTGGGATTCAAAAGTTTTAAGAACAGATTCTCTCACCAACATGTCTCAACAGCAATTGGTTCCACTATTTTTTTATATTCTATACTTTACTATATAGATATAATTTAGGAATAAAGCAAATTTGTCTTGTGCATATTCAAAAATACCAAAATTAATCTGCATTACATTGCATATTATCATTTTAAAAGGAAAAATAATTAAAAGAAATGCTTTAAAATCTTTTATTCATGGTCTTTTATTTTAAAAATTTCCAAATAGGCATCACAGTCTTCAACTTTTTTTTTCCTCACTCTTTTGTCATCAACACTGTGATTTTTTTCTAAGTCATGTTTAAAAAAGGAGTGACATCTCAAATCTAAATCTATTTTCACAGCAGTTTTTCAAGAATGAAGTTCAATACTCAAGTCTAATCCATTTTTCATTTGAAGCTGAATCTCATCTTCAACATCAGAAAATGGATGGCTTCTCTTTGTTAAACTATAGACTGTATTGAAAACGCTATCAGTAGAGTCTATATACTTGTTCAATTTATCCATGACTTTTGTAATTGCAACATCAGCACAATCTTGTAGGCACATAAGACACTGTGAACCCTTGATGAGAAATGCATATTCATTATTTTTCTTAAAGAAGCTTGCTGAATCATTTTACCCCTTCCTGAAGGTTCAATACTGCAGCAGACCCATGCCATTGATTTGTGAATTCCTTTCACATTTATGGATTCAGAATAAAATCTGGCACATAGATCTCACCAGTCTTTTTTACTGTGAATAATCAACTCATTGTACTTTTCTTTGAAGTTCTCATGCTATTTCATACTCCAGCAGTCTAAAAGAGCTAATGCTTCAATGAATTCACCTCTAGTTTTCATGGCATCAGGAGCAGAATTTTCATTAGCATCATACTCTAAACTTAGCTGTGTTTCATCCACATTTGCCAGAAAAAAAATCTTGCCTACCTCCCCTGCAATTGTGTATTAACCTTTATTCAATCACCTGAATTTACACCCTCAACCAATTAGGTGACTATAATTTGCAGACAAAATTAGCAGCTTGTTTGCAGCTAGCAATGGGTTCACTGAGCTCATAAAATTCCAAGAACAAGTTCATACTAACATTCTGAATCCCATCACTGAGTGTATATATAAAGTTAAAAGTCTTACCATAGTATATCAAGAAATATATATGTCTAAAAGTAAATTCACATGACATTGGGAGGTGTTAATAGGAACTTTGTTTATTAGTTTTGACAATAAAACCAGTTAGAAAAATGTAATATGTTGCCTAAAATATGATTTTCAACACAGCATGGATCATTTTATAACTCAGTGCAAACCAGTTAATACAAGGTTAACTTTAAGAAATGTTATAATGTCCAACTCCTCATCTATATATTGCTGATATATTATTACTAATTTTTGTAGAAATTTTTCTGAAAGAAACATGTCTATATTTATGACCATAATAATGGCCTTATGTCTTTGTGTCAGTAAAGCTTTTGCAGTTATGTGCTCAACTTAATCCGCGTTATTGCAATTAGCCTTATTCATTTTTATGTAATAGGCATTGGAAACATAGTTATGTATATAGTTTTTTTGTTAACAGCCACAACAGATGTTTTTAAATCTAGCAATCAAATTTAGCAGTACATGACCCATATAAATGTGATTACAACTGAAAATCCTAATTTCAAATTAATACAAGATTTTCATTTTAAACAATTCTAACAAAATCTTTAACTTTGACTTTTGTTTTTTAATAGGGAAATTTGCTCAACCATATGTGTCTGCCTATTCAGCCACTAAATTTGCTTTGGATGGCTTCTTCAGTGGTCTTCGCCTTGAACTTGAGTTAAAGAAATGTGATGTCTCTATAACATTATGTGTTATTGGATTAGTTGGTAAGTACTTCCTGCCTCTTCTCATTAAAGCTCAATGTTAGAAAATGAATACAGCAATGAAAAAGAAATTACTGTCCATCAGGCAATAACTGTTGTAACCTAGGTTACTCCTCCTCAAAGTTTCAAGTTAGATATCAGAGAAACGTTCTTTAACTAGTGAATTAACAAAGTTTATAACAGGTTTGAAATTTTGTTTACGCTATAATAGACAATAAATGTCTAAAATGTCATTCATTTGGGAAGCATTATTATGTAGACTGAGGAATCTATGAGGACTTCATTTTAGGAATTTTTAAAGTTTTTTGTATTTTTAATTTTTGATATTTACAATATTGTTGTCTATTAAATGAACATGTGTAAAGAGCATGTATATTTTCATAGATTGCTGCAATTTCCACACCTGTGCATTTTTTGTAACAGTAAACAAATTTTATATTTTTAGATGGATTTTGCTAAATTTTTAGTGACCGATAGAAACTAAAATAAGTGCATTAAAATAGTAGCAATAAATTGTAATATAATTTCTATTTTCTTGTTTCCTTTTATGAAATTTATAACATTCTTAATTGGTAAAAACTTTGGATTTAAACGGAATCGTTTGTTTAAACTAGCCACTAATTTATCATAAATACATTTTGCTAATGTTTTAAGGCAAACAAATTTTGTACCAGTACACAAACTGATGTGTGTATATATATATATATATATATATATATACACATTTCATTGAAAATGATGGGCAAGGTGCTTTTATTTTTTTATACAATTTTTCATGCAATCTAATAATTTTTTTCTTTTCAGATGATAAATTATATAAAAACGGTCCGAATGTTCTTTTTATCTGGACGCTTTCAGCTATACCCTTAGCCATTTTCAAGGATTGAATATTTTAACTGTTAAAATAAGAAATAGTTTGTTGTATGTGTCTTTTCTAAAATGTTTTCATTTTTCAAAACATGATCAAGATAATTTGTCCATTTTCAACGTTAATATTATTAAGTGTTGTTTTTTTTTCTTTTTATTAGTAAGGCTTCCATTATTTTTAACTTTTTTTTGCATGTAGATGATATTAGTGTCATCAACAAGTATGTTACGAATAGTGTCCACTAGTCCATGACTTTTTAAATGAGATCTAATTGAGCTATTGTCAGAAAGGTGTAAAGTGATTCTGCGTATCAAACATCTTGTAGTGTAGCCTATATATTTATTTACGAATTTTGACTGATTAGGAATACAATTCCTTAATGGGCATTTAAATTTGTAAATGATATTTGCCCTATTTAATTTTGTTCTAGGAGGTGAATTATTATTTGTCACTATAAGGTTAGAAGTTTTAAATAACTATAAGATTAGAGGTTTTAAATGGCCATTAAGGAATTGTATCTTCAAGTCTTCTATAGTTCATTATGTTCATACAAGTAGTGATTAACTAGGAAGAAAAAGTTTTGTTTTTGTTCTAATAGCAGTATATTCATATATCCTTGGAGTTTACAATTTCTGCAGCCTCCCTGGTTTTTCAATAAAGCCTAAAAGATGGAGAAGTCTTGTCTTCTCTAGTTTTCACTTAACCTATCTCATCTCACACACTGACTCATCTGCACATATAATTTTCCATTTAACATAACATCATTTACTCTTAATAATTGCACCACAGTCACCAAGAATACTTCATTTACTCAATCAAAATCCTAACTTTTAATTGTACAATTTTGTGGAGAGAGGGGCTAAATATCCTCAAATAACTAAACAAAACAGTATTAGTACTTGATCCCCCCCCACACACACAAAAAACTACATGTGGCAGAAAATCTCAGTTTACTGGATAAAACAGTGCAAGACTCAATGGGAGAAAAACAATTATATATATATCTAAAAAAAAAAAAATCGATTCTCTCGTCGGGTTTGACGTATGAGGTTCAAGCAAATCAGTTTCCAGGAAACCGACAGCCCGACACCGGCACATGAGATTTGATTATAGTGGTGAAGGCTTCGTGCAGGACCATTCACACTTTTTGAAGGGCTGAATACAGAAACCTGGTGCACTACGTGCCACAAGGTTTCCAAACAACCCCCCTCAGGTTTTGAATTCAGAGTTGTCCTTCTTCTAGACCAGTTGTCATTCAAGGCTATAGAACCCAGTCTGTCCTGCTATTTTACCCATAGCTGGAGGGAGAAGAAGAGGATTCACACCTTTCCCAAGGGTATTAGCACGTAAGTGAATGTAATGGGTTCAACCTGGATTTGAACTCGGCTCAACGATTCCACAATCTAAGCCGATATCCATTACCACACCGTGCCTCATATATATATATATATATATATATATATATATATATATATATATATATATCCCTTATTTGATTTTAATTTATATAATTAAAATTTGGCTTTTAATCAAATTCCACCCTTCCCTCCTCATTCACTTTATTGTCTTTTTATATTCATTTATATCAAATATTACCAACGAATATCTTTGACAAAGTGTTGACCGAAAGGTGCCTTAGATATGATGTCTACTTTCTTTAAAGATATATATATATATATATATATATATATATATGCAGACAAACCTCTAATCGAAGGATCAATGAGAAGGGATGGGTGGTCCATTAAAGCCGATTCTCTCTAGATGGGAAGGGATTATTTTTGAGTTATAAAACCATTATAGTAACTACCGGTAGTTATAATCATAATGTAAATACTATATACATGTATATATTGCATAAATAAATATATACTTAATGTAGATATATTAATCAAAATAACAAAAATAATAGATTTCTCACAACTACTTTCTCATGCATATCATACTTTATATACAGTACACCCGTCTTTGTTTACAATTGAAAGACCAGCCACTGCTGCCAAGTGGCTACTTTGAGAACTAATATGACTCATTCTGCTAAGCCTGCACATTTTGAAATACATTGCTGACGATTTGGAATTTTTTTTTCCTGCATAACTTTTTTTTTTTTTGCCTGCAGATTTTGTTTGTTTCATCCAAAGCCTGTTGATAGGGGGGTGGGGCTCTGTAGATGAGAGGTTTGTCTGTATTCTTGTTATAGTGGAACACACCTATTCAATTGTTAATAGACTCTCCCACTTATAATAAGTAGGAGTAGTAGCAGTCGCTCAGGGGTTTCGGTCAGTCAGTCGATGCCGGACGACCGTTAGTCAGATACTAAAGTATCAGCAACCACAACTAGATTTCTCTGCGTCATTATCTATTATATCAAGTTCCTAACGGTTTGTACATTGAACCTATTTTAGGACTGACTTAGTACAAATACAAGCCTCCTCCATAACAATTCTCAAAATGTCTTATACTCATCAGAGAACTAAGAAATCTGTCACTTAATAGGGGAAGGGATGGGAAATAGAAATAAAAATGGAGGACAAAAAAGTGGGAGTCTATGTGCAATGAAACAATGCTCCCAAAAAGGCAAAACTAAAAAGACAAACTGTCCTAAATTACCATAAACACTGACTGGGTTGACTCCCTAAGTAGCATCCAATGACCACGAGAGGTGATAACCTCTCACTCACCTTTCTCCAAATTTTGATGAAGAGAGTTGCTCACTTTTGACTCTGATCTTATCTTTGTGCAATGTTTGAAAGAGAAAAATCTGAATGTTTTGATGCATTTTAAATAAAGCAAATATAAAGCAGTTTCCTCTCTCTTGTCTTGATCCTTAGCACTCAAATGATATGCAGATTAATGAATCCAACTTCCACAGACATTGCAGATGATTTTTCTTTGCTGTGAAGATGATCAAAACATGTCTGGTACATCCTGTATAATTTAATGCATTGCCATTCTTTATAACCACAAAGAAATTACAGATGAAATGAGTTTGACTGACATAGTAAATGAATTTCATGCTAAATGTAATAGTATATAATATATTATTATAATTTAGTTATTGAAAATTTCCTCCATTTTTATGTGAATTGATCAAGATGCAGAATGTAGCAAGATTTTAAAATATAGCTAATTATAAAATTTAAGTTAGATTTTTGTACAATTTCATTAAGTTTTGAAATCATTTATGAAAAAAGTATTTTGTAATGAAAATTTGTAGAAATTTCTTTTTAAATTTTGTTTTCAAATATTTTTCAATAACACTCCCATATTTATTTTTATAAAGTCACAATTAATTATCAGACATAACTGAATTTGTCTAACATTCCTATGAGGATAAGTTTCTAGTGAATCTCAACAAGGTAAAGCTTTTCTGAAAAAAGATATTTTTTACTTTTTCACATATTTATATCTGTATTGATATAAATGTAAGTATTATATACCTATATAAATATAGACTGGCATTGGGTTATCCACTCAGCTCCAGAGGCACTCTGAAACAGGAATAGAAACACTACTGAAGTTATTTTTTCAACCACTTTGATGAGAAGCTTGCCTCATATTAAACTTGGACCTACTTCTCAATGCCATCAGATATCTGTACTGTTAACACAATCATTTATTCCTGCTTTAATAGTAGTGAGCCTTATATGTTCAATAAAATTGGCAGTTGATCTTGAAAAGTACTTTCAATCTATTCTTAACAGGGGTACAAAGGAACTTGTTAATTTTAATGCCTCTAAAATGAAACTGCTCTCTATTAATAATCTTAAAGAACCTTTTTAACTTTGGTCGGTATGGCTGATGCTAACCTCTGGAACTTGTTGGTGTCATGTTTTCCATTGGCATGATGTGGAACAATTATTTTGAATCATCTGCTAAATCTGGTCTGATGCCTTTGCCATATATCTATAGATTCTTGACAAAAGCTAAAGTATCTGCAACATTACTGCTCAAGACCTAGCATCTCAGCTTCAGTTATTTTCTCACAAATGTAAAGTAGTTTATCTGTACATTTCCATGGTAATTGTTCTGATAAGACATCCTCTTTGATACCTCTATTTCACAAGTTTAAGTTCAGTCCAGCTAGATCTTATAATTTCACTGTTGAAATAACCAGTTGGAACCGTAAGTTCTATGCTAATAGTTTCTTCTCTCACATTTCTCACTTGTGGAATTCTTCCAGCATCCTGCTTTCCTGTCAATTCCAATCCTTAAAAGTTTAAATGCATTGTCAAGTGACATCTATTGAACAGGATAGTATTCATTGGTGATTTCAAATGAATAAATAGTGAGACCACACACCAACATTTCAATAATTTCTCTTATGAAAGGAAAAACTAGAGATTATAAAGTGATATATAGAAACTTTCCAACTACCAGAGTAGGTTCATTTGGGTCATATTTGTGACAACCTACCAGAGTAGGTTCATTTGGGTCATATTTGTGACAACCTACCAGAGTAGGTTCATTTGGGTCATATTTGTGACAACCTACCAGAGTAGGTTCATTTGGGTCATATTTGTGACAACCTACCAGAGTAGGTTCATTTGGGTCATATTTGTGACAGCCACATATAATCATGAATAACACATTGACAAAAGAGAGATAACATAGGCAACTATGTTGTGTTTATAAATTGATGTTGAACATTTACCCTAATGATATTATTATTGCAAAGCAGCTGAACTTCAAAATAGATATGGTGTACAAAATTTGAATTTAGAGAGAAGGGTTTTTGTTTTATATCCTTGAAAGTTTTGAATGTTTGTAAGCAAGGATAAATTTGTACTTTCTCATGAAATTCCTCATTCTAAACTTAATATAGATGATATTTTTTTTCTTTCAGGTACTGACAATGCAGTGAGCAAACTGAAAGAGTTTGAAAGAGGGAATATATTGGATATTGTGAAACCAGCACTTCCTGAGGACGCTGCAATGGCCATTATAAAAGGTGGAGCCTTACGGAAACGAGAGATCTATTTCCCATACTTCTCAGCAAAGGCAATTACAGTCAGCAGAGATTTGTTCCCAAACTTGTTAGAAAAATTTATGAAATACATCTATCATTAAACAATAACCCCTACCATAGCAATATTTGGCTATGACATATTGCAAAAAAGACTCCTATTATATTTCAGAATTAAAAATATCTGGTGTTTGACAACTCTAGTGGCATTATTCACTATAATGAAATATATTTGTCAAAGTATAACCAAATTCATAAATAATTATTGTAAAGATAAAATTTATAAAAACTTTCTTTACATTCTTTTATGGCAAAGTCACTGAATATTAAAAAAAATAACAGAAAAATAATATTGTTATTTAATGTAGAAAAATTAACGTTTATTTGTTGAAAATAAATTGGTATTTTATTACTTCATTTATAAATAATTTTGGAAAATCAATTCACATTTTAAATTACTTTGACTAAAGCTATTTCTTTCACTCTTTTATGAAGAGGGTCATTGGAACAACTTTCATTTTTAGTTTTAGTTTTTTTAGTGCCATGTTTACAAATAAATATAAGTTATAAGAAAATGATTAATGAGTGGTAATTGAATTAATATTTAAACTAATTGGTAGTCATTAATAAATTCAATAAAGATATCAAATATTTTGTATGATTTATTTGACCAGTGCACTTCTTCAAGTTAGTATCCCATCTGGAAACTTTCAACAGAATTAGCCAAAATTATTTTTCAAAGGTAAAAATCACTCACAAAAACTGCTTATATATCTTTTTCCTCCCTTATGATAAAAAATTACTAAACTATAATCAATACAACAGCTTAAATGAAAAATTAAAAACAGGTTTTTATATTTAGAATTTCTTCACCAAATATAGTATCTATTAGATTTGATCCCATATGAAAAACAGAACATATTTTAAGATTGTAAGAATTTTTTTTAATATAATGATACAAGTCCTACTAATTAATATATAGCTGAAAGGAAAACAGATGGATTCATGCCTTTCAGGCACATTTTGAAAAAAAAATTAGTTTTTATCTTTGAATTATGTAATAATCTGTAGGCCTGTTTATATAAACCCCCTTTTACAGTGTATTAAAAAATCAGGATTGAAGGTTTTTTTATTTATATAAATTCAAATTTTCTTGTGATAAGTATTGCTGGGGTGCTGAAAAGTTCTTTGCTTAACCAAAAAGATATACCAAAACAAATTCTAATGTTTGTTCATTTGTTCAGATTTGGGGAAGTAAATTGAACAAAAACATTTTAATGTAATATTTTGTTATTTTCACAATCAATGAATTGACCGCAGATGATTAAGAAAAGCATGGATGATAAAATGGAGAACAATTTTTTTTTTTAATTTTCTCTCTTGTATAAACTTTGTCTACTCAAATGCATGTTAATAATCTGGAAGTTGAAAGGTTTCTTATCATTTTGTTAAACTTTAACTACATGCTCTTTATTCAAAGTGAAGTCTAAACCATAATCTCAATGGTCGTCTTTATAAACTTCAGGTGTTATAAATCCTTCAATTTGTCTGTGAAACATTTTTGATTTCATTGTCAAATTTTCTAAAGTAGAAACCATTTTCAGACTTTAGTAAAGGAATTCATTCTTTTGTTTTTATTTTTTTATTAAAACAAGATACTCAGGAAGGTTTGAAAACTTTTTTATATTATCATTAAACAAATCAGCTTGAGATTTAATTGTATTATCTAAAAATATAAAAACAAGTCTAAGGAACTGTTGTTCTTTGAAATCAACTTTAAAGTTGTCTCTCATGTCTGTTCATATTTATACTTCAATATAGAAAAATTATAAAGAAATTTTGATTTTCTTTCAAAAGATTCTCAACAATAATTTGTCAGCTTACTGGTGAAAACATTTTAGCAAAATATTACTTAAAATTTCTTAATTCTCAATAAATACCAGAGTTCTTACTTTTTCATAATTAAAAACTAACAGCATAATATCTAAATTGGTTACAATGTACAAACTACATTCAGTTAGACATGATAATATGCACATAGTATGATGACAGCACATTCCCAAGAACAAATAAATTTTGAACTGAGTTGCATGCTTCTTCAATTCTTTATGAATTTTGAGAAAATTTAGTTTACAGTCTGTTATATTGTATGAATTCTTGTTGTTATGGTACAATTGGATCCCAAAGCATGGGAGAAAAATGATTAGGATCAGTGATTATTTGGATAATGCTAATGCAACATTCTTCTAATTAAGAATCTTAGATGCTTTCTTTAATACAACCATGTCAAAAATAAAATAACTGCTGTTCCCAAGTTAGACACAATTATTAGATATTTTTTAACAGTGCATTATGACAGCCTCCTAATAGCAGTTTTTAATGATTCAAATTCATTGTATTATTTCAATCAGTTATCAAATATTTTCCAAAATGGTTGGCCAACATTTTGTTACCCTTAAAATTACTTGATGTAAAGTAAGACATAAAAATGTAAGCTTCTCATTTGAGAATAATTATACCATTAGCTCCTTGTCTTTTCAATTATTTTTTGATTTTCCTATTACGGAAAGTGAAAAAATAATTTACAATTAAAAACAATATTTCTCACATTCTTTAGATTTTTTTTCATAAATTCTAAAGAAAATTAATTTTCATAAGTTTTCTTGCCCATTTTCCATTGAAAGTATTTTTATTGTTCAGTATTATTTACTTCTGAATTAAATAAGGTTTTATTTTATGAGACAGTCTTTACACCCAGTCTTGTAAAACCATCTAAATTGAGATTACAAAGTGATTTTGACTAGAGTAGTTATTAGTATGAGGTCTCCATTCTGCTTTTTCATAAATAAAATTAATAAACTTACATAAGTGATCCTGTATCTTGGGCAGCACAGAATTGCAATTTCCATCAATAATACAAAAACTGGAATTAGCCTTGATCAAATTAAGATGGAAATAACCTCAGTATTAATTACTCTGGTAATATAAATAACACTTCTGGATTTATTTATTTCAAAGATTCTATTTTTTATGTGCGTGTGTATGTATGTATAATTTTCCCAAACTATGTATAAAACTACCTCATTTTTTGTGAAATTTCCATTTAGTTAATATGAATGTTTCTATAGTTTCAGAAAAAAAGTGTATATTGAAAATATTTCCCAATAATCAAACATGCATAAATTGTTAACTTTCAAATAAAATATGAATATACAAGTGTTTCAACATTGTTGCATGGTTGGAGACATCTTATTACTTTCTGTTTAATAAAATTATATCTTTCAGTATTTGTTGTTTTTTCAAAAATTATTTCAATATATTATACAATGAACATTTTCCTTATTATTGTAACATATTTTAGTTGAACTTTAGTTTTGAATAAATTGTTTTTCTTGAAAGTGCTATGCAATTAAGTTTTTTAAAATACACATTTATCTAATTTATCTAGTCGACCTAGCTAATAACATAATTTTCTGAACGTGGATATTCAAAGAAAACAAATTATAAGCATTTGTTATTTACATTGTTCAGACTGTCAACCTCATCTTTGTTGCCATATTAAAGACGTTTCGGACATTGTACACTCCAGCCTTCTTCAGGTCATTAGAATTTTGAACTGAACCTTTTATTTCGTCCATCGGGATAGATTGTTTTAACTCCACGTGCCATGCCACTTCTGGATGTATCTTTTAACTCAACTTTCCTAGTTTTGTTCACTTCTGCAGTCGCCAGGTATTGAACTCACAACACTTTTTGGGCAACGCTTTTATCCCCTGAGCCATGTGTCCTTGAGGATATCAGTGTATGATAGTGCTTCCTCCTGTCCAACAAGGAGCTCACATTGCTACAAGCAGAATTGTCGTGCAGCATATGAACCATGTAGCCTTCAATAATCTTGCGTGGAAGACAGTGTGCTCGAAAGATTCATACTTGTGAATCAACAAGTCCCAATACGAAAAACTTTTTGGCAACCCAGAGCGCATTACTAATTGTCAGCTAGGTGAGTGATGCATCACTATTAGTGAAGCATTTTGTTGTAATGGAATGTCCCACTCTTCCTATTGTCTATTTTAAACTGACTATATCTGTAGATATATATAGTGTGCACAGGATATACCTGTGACTTGCTTTAGGAATTACTAGCTTGCTACCCGAATTACTATTTGGAACTGTTGTACTATTGTTTGATATGAAAATCAAGTATTCTGTAAGTCAAGTTTTTCATTTGTACTATTTTAGTTGCTGTTAATTTATTGTTTTTTCGGTTGTTCTGAATTTGTCTTGTCATCGTCGTTCGGTTTGGGGGGGGGCACGATGGCTGAGTCGCCCCCTCACAGCAAACTGCTTCAGCCCCACACGCACCTTCGGCATGGGCTGCAAATAAACCCAAGAAAAAACACCGGGACAGTACGAGGCTCTACAAAAAAAGTATACCGAATTTATAAAACGGGAATGAATTAATTACCATTCCAGAGGCGTTCGAAGCTATTGCACCTCGAACAATTTCACTGCTGATGACTGACGTATCAACATGGCGGTTTATTGGTTTCAGTAGGAACATCAAGGAGGAAGGCTTTTGAAAAGCCTCCAAATATTACCGAAAGTTTTGGCGAAAAGGTCAAACGCTATCTGGAACACCCTGCTAGCAAATGTAGAGGAGACAAAAAAAATGACCGGGAGCATATTGACTACTAAAACAGTAGGTCTCCAAACGAAGTACATTGGTACAAGGCGTACCAAGATCACCCTTCATGGGGTCCACATCATGGTGGAGCGCTTGGGGGCTTTCTTCCCCCAATTCGGTCAAGTAGCAGAGGTAGCAGCAGTAACCGGGAAAACGGGCATTGTTGCTGGGGACTATGTTTTGCAAGTCACTTTGATCCACAAGAATTTTTCCGATATATCGGAATATCCCCGATATTCTAACATGCCGGGGACACAACTTCTTTGTTGTTGTTGAAGGCCAACGTCCTAACTGTTGAGCCTGCGGTGCTGCAGGGCACGTATCTATGTCTCAGGAAAGACCTGACGCAATCAACATCAGCCACACCAACAAAATCAGCAGGAGAAGTAGCTAAAGAAACAGTGGAGGAAGAAAAGGCCA